CCCTCAGCTCTTCAGCTCAAGGCAAGCGCTCTACCACTTGAGCTACAGCACCACTTCCAGTTTTTTCTGGTGGTTTTATTGGAGATAGGAGTCTCACGGTCTCTCCTGCCCGGGCTGGCTTTGAACCTCGATCCTCAGATCTCAGCCTCCTGAGTAGCTAGGATTACAGGCGTGAGCCACCAGCGCGCCCGGCTTACCTTTTCACTTTTAAGTTATTTTTTTGGATAGGCTGCCCAGGCCAGCCTCAGACTTTAATCTTCCTTCCTATGCCTACCAAATAGCTGAGGTTAAAGGTGTGTACCACACACATGGTTTGTTTGTTGAGATGGAGAGTCTCTGGAACTTTTTACCTGATCTGGCCTTAAACTTTGATCCTCTCTTGAAAGAGAGGATTCCCAAGTATCTAAGATTACAGGTATGAGCAATGACACCTGGCCTACTTTTTCATTATTAAAATAAGCACATTTCTTTCGCCTTCTCTCTCTCTCTCCCTATGTACTACCATGCCCATTCTAGTACTTTATTTTTTTGTCCATTGTGGGTCTTGAACTCTGGGCCTGGGAACTGTCCCTGAGCTCTTCAGCTTAAGGCTAGTGCTCTACCACTTTGAGCTACAGTGCCACTTCCCAGTTTTCTGGTGTTAACTGGAGATAAGAATCTCATGGACAATCCTGACCAGGCTGGCTTTGAACCACGATCCTCAGATTTTACTCTTCTGAGTAGCTAGGATTATAGGTGTGAGCCATCAGTGCCTGGAAGCCTACTCTTTCTTTTTGGTTTGGTTTTGTGTTGTGGGATAGGGTCTTGCTGTGCAGCCCAGGCTGTCCTTGGTTGGACTCAGTTCTGCTGCCTTTGCTTCCCCAGTGCAGGATTATAGATATATGCCACTACTTCTGTCTTCCTCTTTGCTCTCTAAGGGAATCTAAGATAGCTTGTGGTGTTCAGAGAGCAGGTTCTGAGCCATATATGAGGAATAAGAGGGAGTTTTTCAGAAACTTATGAGGGACAGTGGAGGCTTAGCCTGGCAGGCTGGAGACTGGCATTTTGACTAGGCAGATGCTTTTCTTAACTTTCTAGTCCGCACACTGGCCTATGTGACTTACCAGGACATTCGTGCTGTGGGCACCTTTAAGGAGCAGACGGTGATTGCTGTCAAGGCCCCTCCACAGACCAGGCTGGAAGTGCCCGACAGGGCTGAGGTGAGAGGGGAGGCATCTGATGGAGACCAGGGTAAGGAGGTCCTGGGAGCTCTGCTGACTTTATCCCTCACCACGGCCCACTCTGAGCTCCCCTGATGTGTTCTAGAACCCATGGTGAGATTGGTGATCTCTAAACCGGGGCACAAATGGCAGAAGCTAGAAAGGTGGCAACTGAGTACTGGCTAAGGAAATCTTTTCCTGCATAGACGTTCTGTTATGCAGCCAGCTGCAGCTTCCTGTACACATACTTGCGTGTGCTCACAAATCCTTTGCCACTGACCTTGCTCTCCTAGCTTCAAAAAAATTGTTCTTAATTTTTAGTTATTTAATTAATTTTTTTAACCATTCATGGGGATTGAACTCAGGGTCTGGGCACTGTCCCTGAGCTCTTTTGCTCAAGGCAAGCACTCTACCACTTTGAGCCACAGCACCACTTCTGGTTTTCTGGTGGTTAATTGGAGATCAGAGTCTGATGGACTTTCTTGCTTGGGCTGGCTTTGAACCATAATCCTCAGATCTCAGCCTTCTGAGTAGCTAGGATTACAGGCATGAGTCACTGATGCCTGGCCTGTGTTTGTTTTTGAGACAGGGTCTCACTATGTAACCTAGGCTAGTCTTGAACTCTGTCTTCCTACCTCTGATTCTCAAGTACTGGGATTACCATGTTGAACACAAGACCAACATTCTTTTTTTTATTTTAAATTTTGTACTATTAGTAGGGCTTGAACTCTGCCCTTCCTGCTCTTTTTGCTTAGCTTTTTCTGCTCAAGACTGACACTTTACTACGTAAGCCACCCCCTTCTGCTTCAAGCATTTTTCTAGTTAATTGGAGATAAGAGTGCCTGATATGTCTGTCTAGGCTGGCTTTGAACTGGAATTCTCAGCCTCCTAAGGAGCTAGGATTATAGGAATGAGCCACCAGTGTCTGGCAAGACCCAGATTCTTAACATTCTCTATGAAGCTTTTGATCCCTTGATCCCAATTGCCCATACCTACCTTTTCTCCCATGCCACTGCCATCAGTCTTTGTGTTGCTACATTAGCCTGTCTTCATTCTCTTGCGCTCGGCCTCCCCTGCTTCTGTGCTGGCTGTCCCCACACAGGCTTCCCTCCAGGGCAATGGCTTGTGTGACACCAGCTCAACTACTTTAGTGGGAAAAGAGCTTCAAAGTTCTGGGCCCGGTGTTGTCTGGATTGACCTGGGCATGCGCCTCCCTGATCCAGTCTTATCACAGACTTTCCTAGCTGCTGCAATTACAGGTGTGCACCATGTGTATATGTACGACTCAGGAATGTGGAGTGAGATTCCTGAAGATAATTAACGTGTCTCCCTGAAAGAAGGGGACTAGGCAGCTGGGCACTGAAGCCTGCTCACCTGGGGGCTACCCACCATCCACATGAGCAAGTTCAGTCCTGGAGCTGGGCACCGAGACCCACCCGCTTGAGGAAAGTGTCCAGTTCCAGGACTGAGCTTGCTCATGTGGACGGTGGGTAGCCGTGTGGGTCCAGCACTGGGCTTTGAGCTGACTTCTCTTCCCTACCCACTCTAGGAGAGCCTGCAGATATATCTGAAGAGCACCCAAGGGCCCATAGAAGTCTACCTGTGCCCAGAGGAGGTACAGGAGCCTGACAGTCCAGCCAAGGAGCCCCTCCCCTCCACCTCTACCCTCAGCCCCAGCTCTGACTGTGCCCAGCCCAGTAGCAGTACCAACCCTGGGATCTCGGAGCCAGCAGTGTCCTCAGGTAGGCTCTCTGTCCAGAGGGATGGGAGAAGGGGAGAGCAGCTGGCCTTAGGTCCCTCTAAAACATCAATATTTTGTTTGCTTGTTGGTTTGTGTCAGTACTCAGGTTTTCTTTCCTTCCTTCCTTCCTCCCTTCCTTCCTTCCTTCTTTCCTTCTTTCCTTCCTTCCTTCCTTCCTTCC